CCGTGCGTCTCGGGTACGTGCAATCTAGCCTCCTGCGTTTTGGGAGGATATTGGGTTCTGAACTCAATGGTACTGGTCGGCTCGACCGGCCAAGGTAGGGAATGTACTGTCTCTGAGGCCAACAGCCAGGTCAGCATGACTGTAGAGCGCCACATGGTTGCCGCGACCATCCTTCTGTCGTGCCCGTGGTGACTGATATCGAAGGACCAGCTGTCTCACGGCCTCAAAGAAGCGCAAGACAACGATACAAGAAGTTACGTATACTGATCTAGTGTTGCAAAAAAGAATTGAATAGGCCCCTTTGTCCCAGGTCGCAGAGCGCCGCTCCGGAGCTTCAAAGGAGCGAATGCACAGAAAGCAGAAGGACAGTTTGAGCCTCGTTGAAGTAAAGGAGAGGTGATAGGGAATATGATTTGCAATGAGAGGAAAGAGAGTGACGAAAATGAGTGTATTCAACCCGATTTGTGGCACATAGCGTATACGTCGAGTACGCTTCCTCTTGGGATAGGCCAGACAACTCGAGGGGAGTGTCGCGAAAGAAAACAAAAGGACGGACGAGGCCCAGCAGGCCCAGATAAAGGAAAACATTGCTCACCAATATCGAAATTTCAAATTCCAGTCACGACTAGCGAGAATCTCACCAGGCCGAAGTAGGCTGTTCCCCGTCAAGGGTTATCGGATGACCCAAACTTTGTCTAGAGGACAGACAGCGGGAGATGACACGAGTGTAGATCTAAACAGATTGTCAGTCAATTGATTGGACTCAATGTGCGATTAGCAGTATGCGTGGTGGACCCGAAAGGGCAAAACAATGCAGGAACGAGGGCACTGGAATGCTTTATCATTGTGATCCGCGTACAAGCAATCCGAACGGTTGCCAGAGAGGCCTCCATCTAGCCGAAAATCGTTCTCCGCACACTGGTATGAGAGACGGATGACTTACTTACAGGATGGAAATGATTCAACCGGGTGATGCGAACGACGAAAAGGAGGATAGAATGATTGAAGTTGGAAGATGTAACGAATCCATTCTGGGCAGGAAGGGTGTGGAGCAGGGCAGGCAGCTGAATAGTCGAATCTTGCGGGCAGATCCATACGCCAACGTAAGCCACACATGAGAGGACTCGTACGGACTGGAAATAAAGAGAGTTTGAGATTCATATTGATGGTCAATTTTGTCAAAGATTTCGTCAGGGCCAAGGCAGATGCGTAGTTAGATCACAGGTTATCCGCACATTACACCATCTGAGCAGTCGGTGCTCAGACAACCTCATGGCTAATGGCGTAATCAGTCAGGTGAAAATACCCTCATAAACTGGTCATCGAGAAGATGCCAGCTGGGTTCTCGATAATCACAGAGGCCACATGGCAGCTTCGTTTAGGATTCCATCAACAGAGGAACAAAGGAAAGGATACATTAAAGGGTGAGGTTGCAATTGCTGGGGAAGTGAGCTCGTGCTGTTATGCTACAGCAACCCGTCATTGCTCACCCGACCTGATCATCTACCTCTACTCTACTCTTTGCTCGTGCATGCAAAAACTATCATGCAGATTGTGATTGATCTACTATATTGCAGGAAGTACAGATGATTGTAGGAATTACAATATATTTGTTCCAATACGCTCCAGGAACGCCGTTCATTACCCCATTTTTTGACCCGTTGGTATTGTGACACTCTATCATGTTATAGCACCCTACACAGCAGGAGTATCACAATCATAAAACACACAAATATACATGGCCCAAAAAGAAATGCCTTAGATCATGGGCTTCTCCATTGGCTTGATGATGCCCTGTTTGATCATCACGCGAGGCTTGGTTGCGTTCTGCAATGTCTCCTTGGTAGACCATTCAGGGCCGATGGGGAGACGCAATGATCTTTCGTACTGTGCCTTGGTTTCGAAAGGATGAGGAAGCTGAGTCGCCATATACTTGGTGTTCTAGAAGAGATCAGTATTCAATCACTCGTGCATCGGTGGAAACAGGAATCGCTTACCTTCCTGATGCGTTTCTCGTTGATGATCACCCGAGAAAGCTTTGCATCCTTTCGGTTCTCAGGCTTGACACCTTCAACCTTGGTCAAGACCTTCTTCTGTCGCCTTTGCTCCCTCTTGCTGACTCCATCACCGGTCCAGCTGCCCCATCCAGGAAGGGTCTCATCGATAACCTTGTCACCCTCCTCTTCGATGGTTTGGAGTTTATCTTGCTCGAACTCTTGTACCACCTCATCTCCGGCGAACGCTCTCTTCACAAGATCATGGTTCTTGAGTAGGACTGGCACACTGTCCTCGTCATCGCTGCCATCGTCGTCCTCGGCTTGGCCTTTCTTAGAGCTGATAGTCGACTGATCCTTCTGTTTCTTAGGCGCCTCGACAGTCTCAGCGCCAAGAGTGACATCGATAGTCTGCTGCGAATCATCCGCTGTCGCGCGACGGTTGTTTCGTTTTGTCTGCACCAGCCAAGGATTCTCCTCTTCTGTAGTAGTCTCCTTTTGCTCAGGTGCGCCACCAGATGGCCGCACAGCCTGTTTTTTCCCTGGGCGCTCAGATGATTTCTTCTTGTCCGACTGATTGACGACGACGTCGACCACTTGATTAAGCGCGGAGTCGGCCTCATCATCGGAACCTGGTGCCTCCTCAAACTCATTCTTGGGCAACGACTTTTGTTTCTTATCCTTGCCGGATTTGTCATCATGAGACTGGCCGAATTTACGGCGACCAACCTCAGACTCTGCTTCAGACTGCGACTCTTCTTCGCCGCGGAGTTCTCTGTTGAGTCGTCGAATTTCAGCGTCATTTTGTGCTTTGCGTGCGGCCTCTGCGTTCTGCATGAATTTCATGGAGAAAAGGTTAGCATGTGGACCAGTTATCTCCGAGGCATCCACATCATCCCCCTCCAGCCCCTCAAGTTTCTTGCGTAGTTTCTGCTTCTCAGCATCCGAGCCTGCATCTTCTGCCCAAGGATCTTCTTCTTCCGACTCTGAACTGGAGGAACCCAGGTAATCCTCATCCGCTCGGGAAACACTCTTCCCTTCAATTCGCCTCCGCAGCTCTTCTTCCTTCAGGGCCTGTTCTGCTGCACCTCGTCGAGCGTCCTCGTCCCAAGCGGTACGGCCAGTCTGCTTGAGGCTCTTTGCCCACTTGCTATCCTTGTGTTTGGTGCCCATTCTAGCCTCAGCTCGGCGGCGCTCATTCATCTCTCGATCTTCCTCCTCCAAGTCCACGCCAGCTTCCAGAAGAGCTTGTCTTTCCTGCTGCTCTAGACGCTCGCGCTCCTTCCGGTGCACGCGGCGATACGACTTGCTTTTGATCTTCTTGATTCGCTTGGCCCGTACTTCTTCCCGGAACAGCAAATCACGTTGCTTGCGCAACTCTGCCCTGCGGGCTCTAATTTCCTCAATGGGCAACTTTCGTGCCTGCAGCTCCTCAAATTCCTGGACCTGCTCCTCAGTCGATTTGCCGCTCGGATCCGCAAGACCACTTTCAACTAAGATATTTTGAATCGTAGCTTCGAGATCTGTCTGCGGCTTCGTAGGGCCGATTCTGTGTGTTTGCTGGGCGTCGGGATCAGGTAGAGGGAACATCAGGTGTTCCGCTCGTCGATTAGCCTTGACAGTCTCGAGCCAGCGGTTCAATGTCTCTTTGCTCTTTTCGTATGCTGCTGCTCGGTCCAGCCGATCTTGTTGACGTTTCGCCAGGGGCGCGTCCAGTTTACCAGGTATTCCAGATGACTGTTTGTGAGAAGACGGGGCCGCGTCGACATGCTTTAACGAGCTCTTTAGGCGGGAATCGGTAATGGAGGGCAAGAGGTCGGCGACTGTAAGCTTTCGTGACGAAGTCAGTCCGTATTCCGTAGGCTTGGCGTGTTCTTGTGCGCCTCCTATTCTCCGAGTTGGCTTATTCGTAGACTCTGGCTCCAACGCATTGACGAAGCTCTGTAGTTTTGAAAGACCATGCTCATCTGCTTCGTTGGCATCGTCATCTGACATCGATAGCCCGCTCTCCTCGTCGGATTCATCGTCGCTCTCTTCGCTGCCCGAGTCATACTCCTCCGACTCATCCGGTTCAGCCTGCTTCTTTTTAGATGCTGCGGCCTTTGCCTTCTCCTCCTCAGCTGTATTTAGGTCCCAGGCAGTAGTAAGATCGATGGCATCCTCTCCAAGGTCGTCATCGTCTTCGTCCAGATCTTCGTCTTCCTCCTCTGATTCCTCGACATCCTCGTCCAGGTTGATTTCGCGCACGCGTTTGGATTTCTTCGCCTTCGGCTTCGACCCGGCATTGGTTGTTGAGCTTCCGCGAAACGTAAAGCCCTCAAAGCGTTCTTCGTCGCTTGAGCCCAAGGCCTCATCACTGTCCAACTCTTCATCGTCATCGCTGTCGACTTGACCCAATCTCCACCTGTGCCCTTCTCCGTCGCTGCCGGCGTTACTGCTCAGTTCTGATTCATCATCGCCCCCGAATCGACGACGCTTGTTATCGGGGCCATCCGAGTCGTCCATATCACGGTTGGTGTTCCGTTTACGCTTGGAGGGGTCATAAATCTGGCCTAAGCGGTTGCGCCTTACTCCTAATTTATCGGTGACCTGGCTTTCTGCGATCGAGAGCGCATTCAGTGCTTTTTTCCCGGTGTTCTTTTTTGGGGCCGACTTTTTGGAAGGCTGGTCCTTCGGACCCCGCAACTGAGTTTGTCTGCGAGGCATGGTGTGATCTTGACGGTAGAAAAATGGGAAACACGAGTCTCAAGACCAAAATCAATAAGTAGATATGAGAGCCTGAGAATGTGGCTACTCAGTCTCAAAACGAGTGCGGAGCGCAGGACCAGTCAACTCCATAAAAATAATTTTTAAACTCTTGCGGGCAGCGGAAAAAAAGTTCTCGGCGCGGCGGAGCTAAGTAGCGCCGCCCGACTTGCACGACCTTTTCTCAACTCCGACGACTGGGCGACGGTACATCTTCGACGGCTGCATTTATCGCATAACTGGAGCGCCGCATCTCACGCTATGGCAATGTTCAAGCCTTCGCAACCGATGATGGCGCGATTGCGTCTGACCACCAAGCAGGTCAATGGCGGTTACTACAAGGGAAACCGGACCGGATCAATGGGTTACTTCGCGAAGAATGGCTCTTATGTGATCGATTGGAAGAGAGTCCGCACATATGTCGTCCCTGAAAATCTGGCTGATTTCAAGGTGCGTTGCTCAAGATTATTCATGAAAACTCGACCTCTAGCATCTGATCTAACATTCGCGAACCAGCTCACGCCGTTTGTGACGAAACGCATGACGCCGACAAAGGGCAAGTACACGAGAGAGATTGAGAAGAACGGTAGAACGGTTATCGTCGAGCGAGCGTTTGGTGCGAAGGACTATCTTGACATGTGGGCTTCGGATAATGGTCAAGAAGTGCTGGAACAGGAGCGACTCGAGCAAGAATCAGCGGCGAGCCAGGCGGCCTCCCGTCAATGATCCCTTGGATTAAGGTGTCGAGTCATATCATATCTTTCAATCGGTTCTATTGAGGCAACTTGGAGGACGATGATGGTTGACCGGCTACGAATTCCGGCGTTGTCGATATCCTCAAGTCCGATACATCCACGGTCCCCGGTCTACGAGTGTATTATATGTACAGTATGAGCGTTGGTTCCTGCTGAATCGCGGCCGAGTCCGCAGTGGTTCACGATATCATCGCCAGCTATGTGAGTGGTGGCTATTGCAGTGGACGATTCGGCATTTTCCTGGGTGTTTACTTCGTTAAACGGCGCAATTTTGGTTTTTGGCATCTTAAAAGACATGTCTATGGTTCATTGTTATACCAGCTAGATTTCACAATCAACCCACAATACCAACAACTACTAAGGACATTTGCGAAATATCGATACAGAAAGTCAAGGAACCGGTCCCTAACCCAAGATAGAAATCTTTCGAATATAAGAAATCAATCTCCTGAGGTAACTTTCGGCGATGTTCTGATGCGTGGCGTTTAAATCTTACCCGCCTTGGCAGTGGTGGTTGAGCTTAAGATCAGGCACATAGTGCGTGCCTCTAACACAACGGGCCGCTGAGCTGTATATGTCATAGCCCCGAGCCATCTCCATCTCACTCACCATATTTCCCCAGACAATCCCAGCATCGCTCGGGCAAGGCATGGACTCACTTCCGTCTTAAATCCATCACCTGCAGCGACCTCGCAGACCGTGGACGACCAGGGCTTGTTAGCCAGGAGCTGGAGACCAGCAAGACGACAATCGCTATGTTCCAGTCTTTCACCGGAAACTCTCGCCGTCCGCGGCAGATCAATCTCGGAGGTCGTAATACGAACCCTTTCGCTGCCTACCCTTCCGGGCGACATCCTCCTCAGGGCCCGAGCACACAGAATACCCTTGCCATCGCACAACAGGAGCGGCTACTGAGGCAGCAGGAGAGAGAGCGTCTGGGAGCAACACGGAAGATACAGCGGACATGGCGGGGCTACCGGAGCAGGAAGCTCACTCATAATACGTGGCGAACAGAATGGGATACTGCTGAGAGGCAAAGGACAGGGTCTTCTCTGCCTTTTGAGGAGAAGACTAGGCAGCCTGACGCTTTCCTGCAGCCATCTCTAAGATATGGAACAGCGGCCGAGTGCCTTTCACAGTTGCGGCTTCTCGTGCAGTTTGTGGAACCATGGAATACCAGTGACATTGTCCGTTTGGTGTACTATGCCAATGCCTTTCAGATGACCCTGCATCAGGTACCTACGATAGCGACCGAAGGCGAATGGACGACTCCACTCTGGCGTCTTGCGAAAACGACACTACGGGTATTACGCTCAGCCTTGTCTTCTATCGTGCCTGATTTTGCGGTTCCTCATCTTGTCGGGTTGCTGGTCTTCCTCACAAACTTGATTCCTAAGCAGATGGCACGGCTAGCCGAAGACTATTATTCTGTTATGGCAATGATCACAAGGAACATAGAATCGTTATCCCGACGATGTCACGTATCTCAGGAGAGCCTCTCTCAGAGCGTCCTCGCTTTGCTGCGACCCATCACTTCCGAGACTCTCACTGCTTATGAGTGGTTTGCCAGGAGTTACCTCACCATCCCAGACTTGTCGGCGTATCTTGGAACGCTCCATCAATTAGCGGGTAACATAAATTATAAATTGTTGCTTTCTGCCTTGGGGCCTTTGCAGCCCCGATTTCGAGAACGACCTCAAAGTCTCACGGATCTGGACGCACGTCTCTGGCTCCTGGCATACATCATCTACTTTCACCAATATGCGATGGGGACCCAAGCTGGGCAGCAAGCACCGGAACCGGAATTCGTGAAGATCGTATCAGAACTCTTGAATTCCACAGCCGTGCATCTCTCGCGGCGACTGGAGGTAGATGACGCGATCGACAATGATGACACGGAGACACCATTGCACCCCTTTGTCAAGGAACAAATTTCTAGCCTTGTCAACCAAAGTAGGATTACAGGACTTCTGTCGCATCTCCAGTCAACGCATCTCTCCCAAGGTGACCTGGCCAACTCTGAGTCGGATGCGTCTAAGGAGGCAAAGATTCTGGCAACCTATGCTCTCACCCTCCTGAGAGTGTTTTCCCGCCGGGGAGACGACATTCGTATGTGGCTATACTTAGGATCGGCTACATCTGGGGATAAAGGGACTGGTCATCCAGGTTCTCGAATCCCAGCAATCAAATACTTTTGGCATGCGTCTCGATCTAGCAGGATCTTTGACAAGATCAGCCAAGACTCCACCAAAGTACTTCCCTTATTGAAACCGGCAGATGAAGCTAAGGAGTCTGGGCTGTCGATGACCCAAGCCGAGAGAGACGAGGAATGGACCATTATCCTGCTCTTTCTGGAGCTCTACACCTTTGTTCTGAAAGTGATGGATGACGAAGAATTCTTTTCGAGCCAATCTTCGTTCACAGCTTCGTCAAACTCGAGAGTTTCGTGGACCAAGGAGAGCGCGCTGCCCTTGAAGGACATCAAAGACATGACTGTTTTTCTCAAGAATCTCGCGTTCACACTCTACTGGAACTCGGCGGACCTGAATGAACGCGAGGCGCCTCAGACGGCCGGGGGAATTCAAAGCTACTTCACTGGTGCTGTCTCGTCTTCTGATGCCATCACCAGTGTCAAGGACCTTGAGATGCGGAACAAAGAGAAGGGTCTCCCAGGTGTTACTGGAATTCCGCTCGACTATTTCAAGGGTCTTGTAACAGGTCTTTTGAGAATGATTCATGAGCGCGACTCGAGACGCAAGTTCCTTCCTGATGGACATTGGTTGATGACCAACCGCTTCGACATGGAAGGCTTCATACCGGCCGTTGTAGCGGAAGAGGAGAATCGCCATCAACTCCAAGATGAGGACGAGGAGGAGGATCAGAATGATTGGATGAGAGACGACGAATACGAGCCTCTGGGTCTCGTCGGAACTGGTCGTGCTCAGCAGACTCGCCGTATCGAGGCACTTAGGCGCCGCCAGCAACAGGCCGCTCGCAGGAAGCAGCTTGAAGCCGTCGCTCCTAGGCTCGAGATCCTAAGAAACATGCCTTTCTTTATTCCTTTTGCGACCCGAGTACAGATTTTTCGAGAATTCATCTACCGGGATCAGATGCGCCGAAGACAAGGATATATAGACCCGGATGCATGGCGGATGTCCGTGGCTCAGGCGTCCATGGGTCGCATGATCGATGGCCGGCCTGCAGCGCAGGATATCTTGAGTCGTCATCATGCGAATATTCGGCGGGAGAGCGTATTCGAAGACGCATTCGACCAATTCTACGAGTTGGGTGAAGGTCTGAAGGAGCCGATTCAGATTAGCTTTATTGACAAGTTCAACACTGTGGAGGCCGGTATCGACGGCGGGGGTGTAACCAAAGAATTCCTTACGAGTGTTACCAATGAGGCTTTCAAGTCAGGAAGCGAGCCAAAGCTATTCGAGGAAAACGATCAACACTTGCTCTACCCCAACCCTGCCGCTGTTGAGCAACGACGGGAAGTTCTGCGGCAGCTCGGGTTCGTTGAGAACAGCCCGGAATGGAATGAGCAAGTTCGGGATCTACTTAGACGGTATGAATTCCTGGGTCGGATTATCGGAAAGTGCCTGTACGAGGGGATACTGGTCGATGTGAACTTTGCGCCCTTCTTCCTTCTGAAATGGGCCTTGACTGGTGGCGCAGGATCAGCACAGAGGGAAACGGCGTATCGCGCAAATCTCAACGACCTGAAGGATCTTGACCAGGGGTTGTACCAGGGATTGGTCAGTGGATTAATCTGCTTATTTGACTGAGGTGGTTATGTGCTAATCTTTCTTTTTTTTTCTGTAGCTGCAACTAAAAAACTACACCGGGGATGTGGAAGACTTTGCGTTGAACTTCACTGTCACAGACACCATACCACTTCCAAACGGAGGCACTCGCACCGTCACTCGGGACCTGAAAAGCAACGGATCTGACATTACAGTGACCAACCAGAATCGCCTCGTTTATATCTCTTACATTGCTCGATATCGTCTGCAGGTACAGCCTGCATTGCAGACAAATGCATTCCTGCAAGGCCTTGGGCACATCATTCAGCCGTCTTGGTTGTCGATGTTCAATCAATCGGAGTTGCAAACCTTGGTCAGTGGGGAGTCTGGAGACATAGACGTTTCGGACCTTAGACGCAACACACTGTACGGAGGGGTGTATACCATCGGCGACGACAAGGAAGAGCATCCAACCGTCAAGCTTTTCTGGCAAGTCATGGAGGAGATGTCAAATGAGGAAAGGCAAAACGTGCTACGATTCGTGACGTCGACGCCTCGAGCACCATTGCTAGGGTTTAGCCATCTCAATCCGCGATTCAGCATTCGCGACTCCAGTGACGACCAGGACCGGTTGCCCAGCACTAGCACCTGCGTAAACCTGCTCAAGCTGCCACGGTATACAAATGCGAAGGTTCTGCGGGAAAAGCTGCTTTATGCCATCAACTCGGGCGCTGGCTTTGACCTCAGCTGAGATTGGGTATTTTTCCAGTGATATGGTTGGCTGTTGATTGCCATTGCTTGTTTTGCTGATAGACATTCTATTCAAGAGAGTGTGCTTGAGAATATCATACATTAATGTTCTGGGTTGCATAGCTGAGGCGTCCTAGGGTTTTATCTTTGTTGTGTTGTCTTCTTTGATGAGCTTTCGTCCCTCAGGAGTGGCTCGGGTTCGACCTCTTTGTCGATATGCCCCTCCCACTTGATGTCAATAACAACTTTTACACTTTTTACACTCATGGGACATGCTTCAACAACCCTAAACCCTTCGTCTCTGTTGTTGTGTACATGGTCGTCTCTTACCATAGTTCGCCGCTCAAGTCAGGCCGTTGAAGCGGCGAGGGTAGATTACCGTAAATAGACTAGCGTAGTTTAGCACCTTTGAATTTTCCAGAAGGTAAAAAAAATTCAACGCCAAAATTCAAAGGAAAAAAGACAGAAAGAAAAAAAAAAGTTCGTCACCAATAATAATCCACTTTTTTTTGCCCGCTGTCTCGCTCTTTCCCTTTTTCTCTCTTTTCTCCCCTCCTCTCTCATTTCACCTTTTCTGCTGCATCACCAGCAACTCTTCTTCTTTCTTCTTCTTCTTCTTCCTCCTTTAAAAAAAAAGGTCCTTTACTTTCTCCTTTTTCGAATCCATCGAAAGAGAGAAAATAAAAAACTCCTAAAAAAACCCGGAAAATCGTATAAAAAAAGGTTGACTATCTCAGTCGAACTCTTTTCCACCCATCTCAAACTGTGCGGTGTGTTCCTGTGTGTGTGGAAGAATTTACCTCGTCAGCCGCCTTTTCTTCATCCCTCGTGATCGCGTCACTTCACCTCGTCCATCTCCATCAAACACCTCCCGATCTCGCTAGACGATTTCATATACATTGTACGTTTTGACTGTGTGTTGCATTTCATTGCCTGGCCTTCCCACGAGCTTGTGATTTTTGTCCAGTTGCTTGAAGCAAGTCTCGGTGCTCTGCTACTCCAGCGCACAAAGCGCACACCCTTGTGCTTGGTGATAATACTTGTATTGGCCTTCTGCTATTGTCTCTGTTTGAATCCCAGACCTTGCAGGACGTTGTTACTGTCATCGTGGATTGATTGGTTCAGGCTGAGGCCGAGAGCTTCCAAGCATTTTGCCTCCATCATCCTTCGTCGCTTTCTTCAAACTTCTGGCTCTGATCACATCCCAGTGTTGCTGCTCGCTAACAGTCTGCTCTTTACTTTCTTTAGAAAAAGAAAATCAAAATGTCTGCCGAAGTCTCTACCACCCCCGCCGCTGACAACACTGTCAACGGCACTCCCGAGGCCACCAACCCCGCTGCCACCAGCGCTCCAGAGGTTACCGCTGTTGAGAGCGCCTCTCCCTCTGCTACTCCCAGCGCCAACCAGCCCCACTCTGCTTCCCTCTATGTCGGTGAACTCGATCCCTCCGTCACCGAGGCTATGCTCTACGAGCTCTTTTCGTCCATTGGCCAGGTTGCCTCCATCCGTGTCTGCCGTGACGCCGTTACCAGACGCTCTCTCGGATATGCCTACGTCAACTACAACAACACTGCCGATGGCGAGCGCGCCCTCGAGGATCTGAACTACACCCTGATCAAGGGCAAACCCTGCCGTATCATGTGGTCCCAGCGTGACCCCGCTCTGCGCAAGACTGGCCAGGGCAACGTCTTCATCAAGAACCTGGACGCTGCGATCGACAACAAGGCTCTCCACGACACCTTTGCCGCCTTCGGAAACATTCTGAGCTGCAAGGTCGCTCAGGATGAGTTTGGTAACTCCAAGGGATATGGTTTCGTCCACTACGAGACCGCCGAGGCCGCCAACAACGCGATCAAGCATGTCAACGGCATGCTGCTCAACGACAAGAAGGTATTCGTCGGCCACCACATCTCCAAGAAGGACCGTCAGAGCAAGTTCGAGGAGATGAAGGCCAACTTCACCAACGTCTACATCAAGAACGTTGACCAGGAAGTCACCGATGAGGAGTTCCGCACGATGTTTGAGAAGTTCGGTGAGATCACCTCCGCCACTCTGAGCCGTGACCAGGATGGTAAGAGCCGTGGTTTCGGTTTCGTCAACTTCTCCACCCACGAAAGCGCGCAGGCCGCCGTCGACGAGATGAACGACAAGGAGATCAAGGGCCAGAAGCTCTACGTTGGCCGTGCCCAGAAGAAGCACGAGCGTGAGGAAGAGCTACGCAAGCAGTACGAGGCCGCTCGCTTGGAGAAGGCCTCCAAGTACCAGGGTGTCAACCTCTACGTGAAGAACCTCACTGATGACGTTGATGACGAGAAACTGCGCGATCTCTTCACCCCCTTCGGCACCATCACCTCCGCCAAGGTCATGCGTGACACCCTCACCCCCGGCGAGACCTCCGAGTCCGAGAAGGAGAACGAGAAGGAGGGTGAGGAGACGACTGAAGAGAAGCCCAAGGAGTCCGAGGAGGAACCCAAGAAGACCGAGAAGAAGATTCTTGGAAAGAGCAAGGGTTTCGGTTTCGTCTGCTTCAGCAGCCCCGATGAGGCCTCCAAGGCCGTCACCGAGATGAACCAGCGAATGGTCAACGGCAAGCCTCTGTATGTGGCTCTTGCCCAGCGCAAGGATGTCCGCAGAAGCCAGCTCGAGGCTAGCATCCAGGCTCGCAACACCATCCGTCAGCAGCAGGCTGCCGCTGCCGCTGGTATGCCCCAGCCGGTATGTATCCCTGATTTTCGCGTTATTCGACGTTCGCTCGTAGAATGGAACACAGTTGCTAACTCTAAATGCAGTACATGCAGCCCGCTGTCTTCTACGGTCCCGGTCAGCAGGGCTTCATCCCCGCTGGTCAGCGCGGTGGCATGCCTTTCGCTCCCCAGCCCGGTATGGTGATGGGCATCCCTGGCGGACGCCCCGGCCAGTACCCCGGTCCCTTCCCTGGTCAGCAGGGTGGACGTGGCATGGGCCCCAACCAGCAGATTCCTCCCAACTTCCAAGGCATCCCCATGGGCGCCATGCAAGGCCCCGGCGGCATTCCTAACGGTATGGGTTACCCTCAGATGGCTCAGGTACAGTTCGGACGCGGTGCTGCTGGCCGCGGTCAGGTGCCCGGAATGCCCATGGGTCAGGGTATGCGCGGTCCCGGTTACGGACAGGGCCGTGGTGCCCCCGTTCAGGGAGGCCCCCGTCCTCAGGGTGGTCGCGGTCAGCCCCCCGCTGCTCCACCCGCCGCCGGTCGCGAGGAAGTTCCCGCCACTGGTGGTCTCACTGCCCAGACTCTCAATGCTGCCCCCCCCCCTCAGCAGAAGCAGATGCTGGGTGAGGCTCTCTACCCCAAGATTCAAGTTCAGCAGCCCGAGCTGGCTGGCAAGATCACTGGTATGCTTCTGGAGATGGACAACACTGAGTTGCTTGGCCTGTAAGTATCTCTTTTCAAGTCAGTTTCGTCCAAGCACGTGCTAACGTCTTTTTCTCTAGTCTTGAGGATGAAGAAGCCCTTCGCGCCAAGGTCGACGAGGCCCTTAGCGTTTACGACGAGTACATGAAGAACAAGGGTGAGGGCGAGGCTCCTGCTGAGTCTGCCAAGCCCAAGGAGGAGACCGCTGAGACTGCTACGGAAGAGAACAAGTCGTAGACTATTGTGTCTTGGTATCTGATGCTGAGCTGGTCCTCCCAACTCTGAGATTTTGATTCACGTCTATTTTTGATGACCTACCTTTCTCTTTTCTCGAATTAACGATCCTCCCTCTACTCCCACACCTCATCTTATTTTCTTTTTACCTTCGAACCTTTTTTTTCCTTTTTTTTTTTTTTACCCTTTCTTTTTTCCCTCCCGGTCCTGATATCCCTCCTGTTTCGAAAAGTTTTTTTTGCTGGTGGCGTCACGTGCCTATGTTGCGATCGACATGCTGTTTTGCCGAGTCCCGTAGCTACACGTGCTTCGTCTGTCTTGTTAGGAGCCGGCAATGGCTGCTGCAGGAGCCAGTCTTGTTTCATTTCAGCAGATGGCAAAGGCAAATTGAATTTCCAGCCGTGCTCGGGTCGGAGAAAAGTTTGTTCGGACACCATGGGTTTTTCAGTTGCTGTTAAAGGGAGGAAGTTGTGACGTCTTTTCTCTTCCTATCCCGATTAACATGGCTACTCTCGTATCTTTCTTATTTGACACGAGTGTAATATAGACTTATGACTTCCTCACGGGATTCGGCTCTCCTCAATATCGTAGTGTAGGATTTAGCAACATGATGTGACACTTGTATCTACAGCCCAAGTCACATCGTCTGGGAACTACCAGAGGTATGAGCCCAAGAAACAAACCAGATAACAGGGTAGATTTCAAAAACTTGGATACTGCTGCCCGAACATATCAAGTAGATAGTCAAAGTTCGCTCCCTGAAGCAAATCCGCCGTGTTCAGGTCAAAATCAGGTAGGCCGAGGTACGGAGACTCCGTCTCGATACCATTCGGAGTGTTCGTAATGAGCTCCAGTGGCCCATCTCCCAACTCGGGTGCATTCAGCGAACCTACATCTCGGCCGGCTATCGACTCCACACTGGCACTGACACTCGGAAGAGGAACGGAGGGATCATAGGAGGAGAGTCTCCGTCTCTTGCTTCCGTTTGGTGAAGAGGGCTCTTCGCGCGAAGAGGAATCGATGCCCTTCGAGTCCGAGCTTCGAGGTCGTTGCGCAGAGGTAAAGGAGTGCCGGATGTTCTCGGCGAGGAGGCTCAGCGCTCGATGGCAGTGTTTCGCTGTGTCCCAGTGCGCGGACATGATTCGGAGGAAGTTGAGGCAGTCGCTTATTTCGCTGGTGCAACGATATTAGTTCGATTCTCTTTTTTTAGGGGCTGCTGGGAGGCTACAATAGTAACTTACAGAGAGCCCTTGGACCAAATGTACTGTCTGAGCTGGCAGGCAAAGGCGAGGACCAGACCTGCCATCCAAGCTGCGGAGAGAAAGCCCGGCCAGAAGAGGGCTTGCTTTGCGTCGATCTGGGCGCGGAGCGCGGAGAGGATGCCTCTTGCGGCGCCGATGCAGGTTTGCAGGCCGGAGTTGAACTCGGGGGTTGAGGGGGGTAGGGAGAGGGATGGACGGTTGATGAGGAGGATGAGGTGGTGGTAGAGGACTGTGAAGAAGGGGCCGAAGTGGAAGGGTTCGTTATCGTTTGATTGTGGGGATGGATTGCCTTGGAGGGCTGGTGGGAGGCTGTTCCACCATTTGTGCACGTCTGTGACGAGGATGAGGACGGAGCTGCGGCGGACGGAGCGGACGAGGATGGACTTGTGGAAAAGCTCTAGCGCGCGGCCGGTCAACTTGCCCGATTCGACGTAGCTCATGAACGCTATTTCTCTTTGATGTTCTTCGTGTTCGCTGGGGTCGACTCCGCTGGAGTGTCGGTGCTGTGGGGGATGCTGCGGGTTGATGAGCTCAATCTGTGCAGCTGTGGATGAAGCCAGTGTGCCCTCTCCGGGACTGTCTGCCATAACGCGCGGCGTAGAGCTCTCACTCGTGTCCCGAACCTTGTGCAAACCGGGCGAATGCACCTCCGGGGCTCCTGGAGCGCAGACGTCAACGTCCGAATCCTGTATACCTAGAGGCAAGCCCAGAGCCTGGCTCAGGTACCGGTCGATAGCATACGCGCACCAGAAAATCCTTTTGCGCAACTGCCGGTCGTGTGTCGAAAGCTCTTTGTAGCGAAACGGGCATCGATGGAGACCCGCATGCAGCATAGACCGGAGGATACAGCCGCCTACCGTGGACGCCGTCCGAAGAGACATCTTAGCCACCAGGTACAACTGGGCCGCGAGAAGAGCCTGCAGGGATGGGAGATCCTGCCTGCGCGTTAGAATCACGAGCAAGGAATGCATGCTCCCAGGGGACTTGATTCTGGATTCCGGCGGAATGGCCAGACCGGGTCGCAGATGGCTTGCGAGATTGAACACGCACTGAAAGATTGTCGTCCAGCACGCGTTCCGGTGGTCGGGAGATGTAGACGGGACATTCGCATGAGTATGCCCTTCAGTCCCGTGCGAGCCCGAGTAAAGCAACTCCATCGCCCGCAGGAAGCTGGGGCCATGTAAAAACGGGAACAGGGGATGCCACACTTTGAAGTAGACCATCATAAGTTCCCTCGCCACATCCAGCGGCGGGGCCTTGCCGAGCTCATGAGCGATTTCCGAATCATACTGCCACTGAGAAAGAGAGGCAGACGGCCCAGAAACGGACAGAGAGCGGGCAGTCGCCGGGGACTGATCAGCATGCGACTCATCGCTGCCCACAAGCGTGTCTTCCGGCAGAGGCAAACTTATTTTGGACGGATCCAAGTCCTTGGAGAATGCACGTCGAACGGTGTTGATGAAATAGACGCCGCTGGAACTGCCGACGAACTGGCTCTCTTCGTTCGAGTGCGCTGTCAGGGAACCAATCTCCGACGGGCCAGAGGTGAGATCCAAAGAGTCCATCCTGGCGGGGACATGGTGCCTCGACGAGCCCTAGATAGGTTTTCCTGAATCAAGCTGCGATGCTCCTCGGTTGATGACAAGCAAGTTGACTGCTCTTCCTCGCCAGTTTAGTTTCTTTCCACCTACCAACACTTGCTTAGTCATCACACATTGTTCGATTCTTGTACGCCTCTTGCAGTTGCATGTCTTGGATGATGAAAAAATGTGAAGGATCTTTATTATTGACTGAGCTTACTGATCTGAGTACAGCAAGTGAAAGCAAAACAAAGGGTCATCTATCACAGAAGCAGGAAGAAAAGCAAGAGAATTTGGGTAAAGCCAGACTGATCAACATGAGCGAGTCCTTGTGCAGAGCTCTGAGGCTTAAGGTTTAAGTAAATAATGGTGTTGAGTGACGCAGATAAGACTTCGCATCCCTTGTAACTGACGGCAACAAACTGGTCTACCGTATAATGACTGTATGGTGTGTGTTTGAGGATTGTTGGTGACAGAGCTCGGGGTCGTTCATCTGATTTTGGGGCTTCCATTCGGACGCAACCCCCGTTGTTGACAATCACTTGCTGCTAATACATCCGTCAGATTCAACTTCAATTTTACATAGTCAACCGAACGGGGAATTACCTGTATGATACGCGCCATTGCTGGTGGTGCTGGTGCTGGTGCTGTTGCTGCTTTCTTAATCAGTCAATAAGATACACATGTTCTTAGGAGCATATCTATACTCACGACACAGTACAAGGATGAAACGACGTTATTAGAGGAAAGACAGAAAAGAGAAATGAAAACGAATGGAATGCGGCAGTATGTTGATTTCGGCTGGAAAGAGTGAAGTTATTCCGAGAGCCAAGGGAAGCAGTGTAACCCATCTCACGCAAGATCATATATTCTGGTAGTTTGCCCTCATCACAATACCAGCCAATAAGATAAGTAATATTCGCCCCTGTCGGAATGAAATTGACCTCATCCTGTATAGTAAATGCAGGGTCATCGATGGCATCAATAACTGTCACCTAGGACAGCACCTCTGAGGTTGCCTTTGGCTTGAATATCTAGAAGCCCAGCAATCGGGGTTGGTTGCCAAAATTGAAGCAGAGCACCGCGGTTCATTGACCGCATTCTTGGCTTTTCCGGGTTCTTGATATTGAGAATGACACACGCTTCGCAATGGTTCTCGCGTCGTCATATCTGCCAATCCAGAACAGGCTTTTAATGGGACCTATTACTTCTCTGAAGGCTTAAATGATAGATAGTTATAAGTTACTGTTATAACCTCACAGCTGAGATGCTTACCTGCAGTTCCGTCTTCGTCGAGATATTCAGCAATCTCCAGGGGGATATCTCCAGGATATCCCCCCCCAGCTCGTCCAAACTGGGTCATATCTATGCTTTTCGAGGTCATCAATGTTTCTATAGCCCCGCCTGGCGGCTATAGAAAGAAAAGACGTTAAGTCGGATAACTGTGCATGCTTCTCACTGGAATCCTCTGGGTGCTTGAAGACGTGATCAAACTGAATCGGGTCTGATATCACCGCAGAACGGGTAACCGGCTAATAGAACCTGTTTCATGATTTCACCGCAGAAGCATCATTTTTTTTTTTTTTTTGATGACGCCATCTGCTCTAGGTTGCAGGGACCATTCCCATATGAACGAGTTGTTTGCGGGCCTCCTGCCGGAGGGAATCGATGCTCATGGGAAGAGCTGTATTGGCCGCCAGGCCTTGCGGGAGAGCAGATCCAAAAAGATCGCCAGCAGTGATCGAAAGAGAGATGCCCGTCACGTTCGCCGGAAATATGACCGGTTGTGATGTTAAAATAGCGGAGCTTGACGGCGAGGTCATTCTTCATGTGATGTTTTGTGTGACAGCCAAAACAGTCTTGCTAGGTTGCTAGAGCCTCCTGTGTATTCTAACTTAAACCAGGGAGCATCACCTGTTCGCGTAAGAGGACTGTTGAGTATGATATTCTATGGAGGTTGAAAAAGTGGCGTGGGAAAGTAGAGGGGAAAAGGTTGCGTCGTCAGTACGTCGTAGATAGTGAATGCTGTGATGAGTGGCATCGTCAATTCACCCCGTTCAGAGAGAGTCAGTGAAGGTACTACATAACGCGGAGCATTGGGAATAGCTTCAAAAAGACACACATTAATTGGAATTGATCACATTGTTGTATCTTGCTAAAGGTCCAAGTGTATATACCGCCAGAATTACATATATACAGGTACCAAGATGAAAGATAGCTATCAAAATGAAGGAAAGGTCATGCCACGGTTCGTACAATATCATCAATCGCTCTGGCCACGTAGCGGACGTTTTTCCTGTTCACTACGAGACTGTCAGTGTTGGGAGAGATTCTAGCAGGGAGACAGGCACTTACAGCCAGACATGGAGATACGTCCCGACTTCATCATGTAGATATGATATCGTCGTCGAATCGCGAGCACTTGGGTCTCTGTCAACCCGGTGTACGTGAACATGCCAATCTAATACTGTTAGCAAATATATTCAAGCCTGACCTCAGGAAGAAATAATGCCTACCTGTTCTAGAACATGAGTCCATGTGCCTGGTGTGCCCAGACGGATCAACTCGACATATAATGCCTGGCGCATCTGTTTGATTCGCCCGCTCATGTGCTTCAGGTCTTCATACCATTGTGCTCTCAAGCCCTCATCGCTGAGAACGGTCCTGACAATCTCGGATCCGCCTCGTGGAGCCATGGAGTACTCGCCACGAACAAGATGAGAGAGATTCGCCAACACAACCTGCGGCAAAGTTCCCGAGCTCGAACTCGTCACCACATGCAGGGCGCCAGTGCGCTGCCCATAGAGACCGAAGTTTTTCGACAACGACTGCGCAACACAGAACTCGAGTTCGGGCTTGCAATTCATGAAGTGCCTGACGGCCCATGCATCCTCGTCGAGGCTTCCTGATGCGAACCCCTGGTACGCCAGGTCAAAGAATGGCACCAGACCTTTTTGCTGGCAGAGCACGGCGAGTTTACGCCACTGCTCCTTGCTGGGATCAGCGCCGGTGGGGTTATGTGCGCAGGCATGAAGAATCACGACATCGCCCTTCTTCGCCTGCGCGGAAAGCAGCCGCGTTGTGCGCTCATAATCGAAGCATTTGCCCTCGTGGTCATAGTACGGATACGTCCGGACCTCGACACCGACAAGCTCCCAAATCGTGTAGTGGTTGGCCCATGTGGGATCTGGGATCCAAACGCAAGAAGGCTTGATGGTGCGCGCGAGAAAATCCGCGCCTAATCTGTTTGCGCCTGTCCCCGAGATCGTCTGAATCGAGGCAATGCGGTCTTGCGCTGCGGCCTGCTCGTTACTTGCGGACTTTCCAAATCCAAAGACGAGGTCCCGTGCTAGAGCTAGAAACTTGAGGTCGCCCTGGATGGTTAGGTACTCATGTCTTGCGACGTTGTTTGCATGGAAGAGCTGCGCCTCTGCCTGTTCCACCACGCTCAGGGGCCATGGATCGCCATCCTCTGTGCGATACACGCCGATGCCTAGATTGACCCTGTCAGGGTGACGGTCACTGAGATATTCGGCTTGAAGTGTGAATGGCTCATCGACGGGCAGTACGGACAGGGAGGAGAATCGAGATGGTGTTGACTTGGCGACAGACTTGACAAAGGTTGCATCACTTGCAATGGCAGTCTGTCGGAGACCCTCGTCTATCTGGGCTGGGGCCATGGTGAAGGGAGATCTGCTGTATAGAGTCAAAGGGTCAGTCTATCCTAGTCCGGATCTCAGCATAACGACGGTATTTATCCAGCGACGGAGAGCTGCTATTTGACCCATCGCGGTAGGGATGAACACATTTGCGATACCGTGGGCCAGCTTCCAGGGCCAATCCGAATGAGAGACAGCGCTCATAACAACGGCTATTGTGGAAGATCCGATGGTCCAAGGGGAAAAGAATGCCGTAAATGCCGTTTATCGTCGGGAGGTTGACGTCGTTCGGAAAAGATACCCGCCGCCAACCGCTAGCAGCCGACAACTTGCACGGCACAACTACGACAATGAAATGGAAGACCATGGAATCATTGCGATGGGAAGAAAAGAAAGGGAGATCTCAGCTGCTTTGGGGAGATCGAGTAAAGGAGGCGCGTGACGCGGGTGACTGGAGCTACTGCCAATGAGCCGTGGGTGAGAGTATCCATCGGTGAACTTTATCATAAAGAAAGATTCAAAGTCAAACATTCTATATCTTGATAAAATCAATCATGTCGTAGAACCAAGCGCTCAATTTCTGCGCATACGGCTTCCACAACCCCTTGAGTATTTGCGGTCCCTCCAAGATCCGGAGTCAGAACTCCAGCAGCGCACACCCGTTCAACACATCCCATCAACTGCTTTGCCGCGTCCTTCTCGCCTAGCCAAGAAAGCATCTCTGCGGCCGACCAGAACGTGGCTACAGGATTGGCTACTCCCTTGCCAGTGATGTCGAAAGCGCTTCCATGCACGGGTTCAAACAAGGAGGGATTCTTCCTTGTTGGGTCTAGATTGCTAGAGGGAGCGACTCCAATCGATCCTGCCAGTGCGGCAGCCAAGTCTGAAAGAATATCCATGTGCAGGTTGGTACCGACGATAGTGTCCAGGGAATTGGGTTTGGCCACCATGCGGATCGTCATAGCATCCACTAGCATCTTGTCCCAGGTGACATCAGGGAAGTCCCTGGCGACCTCTGCGGCCACCTGATCCCACAAGACCATGCCATTGCGCATCGAGTTGCTTTTAGTGACCACTGTCAAGAGACGACGAGGTCTTGAGCGTGCTGTTTCGAACGCAAATCTCATGATTCTCTCAACTCCAACCCGGGTGAAGATGGCAACCTCCGTCGCGGCCTCCCACGGCTGACCGACGTGACTGCGCCCGCCCTGGCCAGAATATTCGCCTTCTGAGTTTTCGCGCACGAGAACCCAGTCGATGCCGTTTGTCGCGGTATTTAGCGGACATTTTGTACCAGGAAAGGTGCGTACCGGGCGGACATTGGCATACAGCTGCAAAGGCCCTCGAATTGCTAACAAAAGGCCCCAAAGCGAGATGTGATCAGGAACATCTAACCAGTTGTCAGTTGCTGGTTGTGCCAAAGTCGATCAGACAGAACTGTCATACCTGGAGCGCCTACAGCGCCGAATAGTACTGCATCAAACTGCCGCAGTGTGTCCAGACAGTCTTCTGATGCGTACCGACCGTGTGTCTTGTAGTATTGCGTGCCCCATGGGATGTGAGTGAAGTCGATGTCGAATGTTCGCAACTTTTGGCAGAGCTTCTTAACGACCTGGATCGTCGCTTCAACGACTTCTGGGCCAATACCATCGCCTGGAATAGACGCGATACGGTACGTAGTTGGAGCTGTCGATACCATTTTGATTTTATTTTCTTCCCTGAACAATGTGTTCGTAGCGATAAGAGTGATTAGGACCCAATAGGCCCGCACTCTCTATATATACCGATGTCATAGCTTTCAGGTAGACAGGACAGCTCTCGGTCGAAAGAGATGAGCGTAATGCGCCTGAAGTTTCATCCTTGCAGTTACATTTGTTACATTTCCCGAGATGGTGACGTTTCCATAGTACTACCGTGCCAACCGGCTGCTGTTGTCGGTGGAGAGAACGTCGGTTAAACCTTTAGCCTGTAGATAATCCCGCACTTGTCCCGATTAGGATGGGAAGATATCATACATTGTCAAGAGATCGTGTTTATCAATGGTTCACCAAGTCAGTAGATAGAGTCTATTGTGAACATGTCTACCAAAAGTAGCAAAATCTCCAAAACATCTCGGATCACAGTTGCCTGTAATTCGTGCCGGTCCCGGAAGCAGAAAGTGAGTGTCCCTTCGTTCACCGATTTCATCTTCTTCGCTGACAGACGGAAGTGTAACGGCAACAAGTAAGCTGTCCTAATGATTGTAAGGCAGGCTCACTGACTGACAAGGCCGATATGTACTCAATGCCTCCAATCCCATCGGCAGTGTGACTGGCCTGAGCAGCTCAAACGGTTCGTTTCCGGTCCTGGAGTAGAATGTACAAGTCTCACCAAGCCAGAGGACCCGCAAAGGGCTACTTTGAAGCACTCGAACATCGTCTGCATGAGACGGAACACGTACTGTTGAGATTGCTGGCTCACATGAGCGACGAGCAGTTGTCGATTGCTGTGGAACGCGACCAGTCACCCTTTCTGCGTTCCAGGAAGAACGATGCGCAATATTGGAGACGACATCCATTGCGCACGGCTCGTGATCTTCGAGAGTGGCAGCATGACTGTTCGGTAGAAAAACGAGTGGCGGGTCCTCTTGTGACCTCGCCATCGAGATGCACCGAATTTTCTGCGCAATCGGAAGTCGAAGCTGATGAAAATAGTCCAGTCGCGTCTGAAAGTCAGCAAACAGAGCTACAACCTGTACCTCCTTATGAACAGGCTACAGGCGCACACGAAGAGGGGCTGAAATCCACTCAAGCGATCCACGGTAACGTCGTGAATCAACGAGTCGCATGGAAGGATGGTTACGACTCATCCAACGAGCTGAGAAAATCGCCAACAGCAAGGGGATCCATCTATATACCGTCGTCGTTGGAGCGTACCCAGTTAGAAGATACGCAGTCCTTACACGCCGGTACTCCTCCCGGACCAAGCCTTTGGAGTGAAGCGCCCTCGGTAGCTTTCCAGCGACAATTCCTCTGGTAGTTGATGCTCTTCAACTCAGAACGTCTGGTATCAAAGATGCCACAGGTACAGGATAATGCCGGGGTAGTATCCAGACACATACTCCACACGGGGCGACCCTACGTCAAGTCCACCTCGATGCGCATCCGCATTAAGAAGGAAATTCTGGCGAGGTACAAAGCTCAGTCGAGCTAGATACACCACATCAAAACCAGCCCAGCAAAATGACTACTACACAACAGGCAACGGCCGCACACTCGCCGGCTTAACGATCCTAATCCCCATCCCCGGCCTGAGCATGCCCCCCTTCTTAACCGTCCCCATCACCCCAGCCAACCTCCTAACCACTCGACCCCCATCCCGCACCACACACACATTCTTCAGTCCAGCCCGACACTTGTCCATCCCCGGCCCTGGCTCCCGAACACCCGTCAACACCACAATAGCCTCCTCCTTACCTTCACCACTGAGGAAATGCAACTCCGTCCCTAGCGGGAGCGTCGAGAGCTCGACCCCCTCAGTCGTGATATTCTCGCCGATCTCGCCTGCCGAGAGGGGCTTTGCGTTGCGGCCCGCCGCCGCAGCGGAGAATCTACCCGAGAGCTCGCGGAGTGTCTCGACGGGGACGAGATGCACCTGTCTGAGATTGGGGGTTCGCTGCGCCTGGGCGCGATGCTGGGTTGTTTGGCCTGCGTGGCAGTCGCCGTCGACGCCGTGGTTGGGGATGAGCGTGATGGATGGGACGGGGGTTTTGGCGATGGAGTGGGAGGAGGATTTGGAGACGGAGAGGATGCGGGGGGTGAGCAGGGTGGTTTTTGAGGCTGATGTTGATGTTACTGTGGCGGTCATTCTGAACTATCAGACAGTATTCTCTTGGATACTATGTATGTGTGTGATGATGCTTGACGCTCGATGCTCATGAGAGTATAAGCGGCCTGTTGAGGATATCTATTGCTAAAGACCCCGCCATGCCGCGCCAACTCATCCTGCATATGACCCTCGATCTAAGCTGATGTGCAGAACTATCCACGAATACAATATCTTCTAGCGCTCACGGACCGACTACGCGGCGTATAGATGGATTATCGGGCGATGGCTTGCAGTGTTTGCGCCAGAGGGTTAGAAGTCTTAGGGTTGGTGCTGGGGTGGGGATCACCAGCTGAAGGAGGGAAAGGCGGGCGTCAGAGCGCTGTTCTCGATGGGCGTTCGTACAAGAGTTTACTCTTAGTTTACACGATGAATGTGACTGTGAATTTGAGTTTGATTCTGTAGTGCTTGAAGAGGCGAGTTATGATGCTGCTGATGATGATGTACTGGATGTCGGCGTACCTCACAGGTGCTCAGTTTCTGCCAGTTGCAACGTGAACCTCAATCCGTCCGGTCCCCGTATTCTGCGTCTTGATATACGCCAAATCCAGCACCCCATCCTTATTAAAATCAATCATCTGCCAGAACCCATTGTGCTCGGGGTAGAACGTGGTGCCCACCTCCTGGACACGGGTCTGATATGTCGACGCCCCAGACGCGACATGGACCTCCACACGGCCCGTCCCCGTGTTCCTGGTCTTGATATACACCAGGTCCAGCTTCCTATCTCGATCGAAATCGATCATCTGCCATACGCCGTTGTCCTCGGGGTAGAAGGTCGTGCCGACTTCCTGGACGCGAGTCTGATAGTTCGATGCGCCAGAGGCGACATGCACCTCCACCCGTCCGGTGCCGGTATTTCGAGTCTTGATGTAGATCAGGTCGAGGATGCCATCGCCGTCAAAGTCGGCCATCTGCCAGGTCCCGTTATCTTCAGGCAAGAAAGTAGTGCCGACTTCCTTGATGCGGGTCTGAAAGTTGGATGCTGCCGAGGCAATGTGCACTTCCACTCGGCCGGTGCCTGTGTTCCGGGTCTTGATGTAGACAAGGTCATCGCGGCCGTCACCGTCTGCGTCGATCAGCTGCCAGACGCCATTGTCTTCGGGCCAGAAGGTCGTCCCAAGCTCCAGCGTGCGGGTCTGGTAGTTGGAGGCCCTGGAGGCCAGGTGGACTTCCACCTTGCCGGTGCCAGTGTTACTGGTTTTGATGTAGCCCAGGTCTGGACCCGGTTTGTTGGCAAAGGAGGGAGTCAAGGACCAGGGGCCGTAGGGGTCTGGAGAGAGAAAGGTGGTCCCAGTCTCGAGGATGCGGGTTTGGTATGGGGCTGCTGTGGCCGAGTTAGCCAGCAGCGGAAGAACGAGATGCCAGATGGCTTTGAACGAAAGGGGTTTGGTCTGCATGACGAAGAAAGTCTGTTTTTGTGCTGTAGTGATTTGATCAAAGTCATAATTGCAAGCGATTGAGCCATTTTATAGGTTGTTCACCGCACAGGACGGAGGCATCGGGTGTTGGGGATGTTTCTTCAGCTGCTGTTCAGCTGTCTCGAGCAAGGATATTTCGGTCCCCCGCCGTGGCTGAGACATAGTATGGTCTGGGCATTGGATTCAGCGAGAATGTTCTGCTGTTCAGATGGCTAGCTTGGCTCGAAGTGAGGTTGCTGAGGAGCGGCAGCTTGAGGGGTCATGCCAGAGCGAGGAGGCTGGCTGAGTTCTCGACATTGATGGTGGTGAATGTCAATCGCTTTAGGTTGCCAGTTTGAAGTGCATATTTTTCATGTGTGACCAGGGGTGACTCCTTGTGGTACTGCAGAAGTCATGCCATGCCCTTGAAGCAGCAGCAGAGAGGAGATGTACAGTACTTTTGTGATGTAACCTTGGACAGGGGTTGGTTCATACAGATGCAGTTGACATTCAAGCGACTGAGAATGTCTTATCCCATGATCGGCTGTTGATGATGATGCGAGTTGAGCTGCAAGCAACTTGAAGGTAATCGGAGAGTTTGCACTTCGCAGTCGACTTTGACGTGATGCTCATGGTTCACAGGACCTGAGCTACAGTGGCACAACACGAGCTGCGAGGTGACAATGCTGCAGTGGAATCCATCCCAACTGCTCCCTTTTCTGAAATTGATTCATCAGAAATGAGAGGATACAGAAGATTGGGCTGAAAAAGAGAACTCTTGATGCTGACTTCCATCAGTCCTGTCGAGTCGGCAATACTTGCCATTGCCGCATTGGGCTAAGCCTTTCGGGACAACGAACTACGGAGCTGAATTGATCATAACAAGGTTCAACTCAGCTTTCACTCAACCCAACTATGGAAATCCTTCCAGCAAGTACGTCCTGAATGAGGTGGGCAGAGAGGCACCTTGCAGGCCTTACAATTCCAGTTAGTGAGGCTAGCCCGCAATATCGGTAGAAAGACGGGACCTCGCTGCCGCATATAGTTTATATGGAGACACCAAGTACACCTTGTCTGCTTGTCTGGCCTCCGCTCCACCTCATGCTCAAGAGAGCTGTCCAATCGGATATCTGGGAGATGGACACGTGCAGCTTTGCGCCTAGGCTGGTATGTTGGCAACCTTCGATACTGGAATAAAGCCTGGAAAAGCTGTTGTCGGAATTGAAGCTGCGTAGATTTCCGTTGTTTTGAGTGCTGCACATGTAAACTGCTGATTTGCCAGGCATTGACCACAGCTGAATCAATAACCCATAAGAAAAGTGGCCACCAAGCACGCCAAGGCTGATGATGAGCTTGATGGCTTGAACGAAGCTGATCTGCAATATCAACATATCGTGTATGGCCTTGCATTTTGTATGTATGATTTGATCGTCCAGAGCGTGGTACAATTAACTGATCAATAGAGATGTTCGTTGAGGGCTGGCGATATCTCTCAGAGGCAGATCGGAATTCTGAAATCAGAGGCTCAAGCTTCCCCCACAGAGCTTCGATATCGCATTCGGCTCCCTCGACTTCTCCTCGAGGCTCATTGTCCGGGGGGTCCAGCGTATGCAGTGATATTTGCAAGTATCGCTTGAGCTGCTGGAATCGCGTAAGACTCATATATTGACGTATTGGATGCAGCGGGCCAAGCTGTGCATCTTTCTCTGTGCGCCAATACCCCTCAGTAGCATGTTCCTTCCAGATTCCCATATAGATGAGCACCCCAACAAAAACCCTTATCTCATTCGCATCCGTAGGGGCCCAAGGTCGAGCCTGGTCGGGCAGCGAGACGCGCTTGATCTCGGCGTAGGCGTTGGTGTTTCTTGCAATGGTATCCCAAGTTCCATCAGTAAAGAAGAGATTAAAGAGGTCAAGTGGCTTTTGAGCATCAACACCACTGGGAAGCGGTAGTACTGGGCCTTGAGGCTCACTCATTTTGATTGGGTCTATTTGACGGTTTTGATATCCGGAAACAAGCTGAGAAGCTTCACTGCCTCCTCCTTATGCGTCAAGTTACGCCTCTCAACCGATGCTCCAGCTTTGACAGTGTTAGATGCCTTACTATCCACCTCTTGGGCTGGATAGGCGCGTATCTGCCTCGGGAGCTGATGTTTATGGTGGATCCAACCTTAGATAAGTATCATTTTCTGTCGGTCCTACTATTCCGACCAATCGGATCAAGTACATGGAGACGCGCTAAGAAATGCATGCTTGGCACCAACCATGGACAAGGAAAACGTTTGGCCCTTTGGCCCTGTGTCGTTCTTCCACTGTTCCACACATATCTCGCGATGGTATTGAAGAGAAAGGTCATCACTTTGTGCTGGGGTGACTGCATCAGATAGGGGCTGTTTGTTCCTTGTCCATATATATCTCTGCTGAAGAACTATACCAATGAATATGTTCCTCATCATCATCTTGCTTATCTGACATGGAGAACCTCAAGCTGCTGTCTAAGTGATTCCTCCAGATTTGGCGGCAAACGAAGATACATGATGATAGGAATTGGCAGCTGCATGACAGCAATTAAAGAGCAATTAGAGAGCACTAATGCTTTTTTGATACAAGTGGTTCTTGCAGAGTACCTACATGATAGCATAAAGCATCCTCCCTTGGGATGTACATAGTTGGTTATTCTGGCGGCTCACTGAAACATAAAGCAAAAACTGTTTCGGATAGCTTCATGTCTTCCTGTTTGAGCCACGGAAAGATGCAGAGACCCTGGTCGGCAGTACAGGTTGTCCGTTCGGATGCGCAAAATACCTTTTCCCTTCTCAGCATGTCCAGACCTATATGGGATGAATCATGGACATAAATAAGCCCAGGATGCCTGTCAGAATGGGGGAAGTGAATCTTTCTCCTAAATGCTTGATTTCATTCCTTCACCAGAATACTTCTTTCTCTCCTTTCTAAGATGTACATTCACAACTGAACCTTTCAGTATATCTGATGCCATTCACTATCAGACAGTAATACTGTCTTTACTCTTTCCACCAGCATTTTACTTCTTCTGTCTTTCATCTTCACTGGCTCTTCTTGATTTTCCAATGCTATCTCTCAAGTAGACTTGTTTGACTGGCTTGGACATATATCCAAGCATAGCTACGATTATCTCGACTCCCTCTGCCTCGACGATCTGACTGAAAATCACCTGCTCGCGATGTGAAGCAATTCCCAGCTGTTTGTAAGTAGACCTTCCACTTCATACCCTGCGAGTCTCGAAATGCTTGCACTGACAGTTCCACTATAGACACTGGAAGTGAAATAGAAGACAACCTATGTCACACAGCGGGCGATGACCCAGAATTCGATTTCAACTTTGCCGAAATACCAGACACAGACCAGAAAGATGCAGGGCTTCCCCATCCTCTGCAACAAAGGCAGCTCTCAACGAAGGATGACCGAGCCCAAAGAAGCAGCCCTAACATCCCAAGGAAATGCCCTTGGGGTGGCGTTGGAAAAGAGCGTCCCCGAACAGACACAGCGCAATGAAGTCACTAATCGATTTCCTGATGATGCTGCCGGGTCGAAGTGTAAGACTATCAAGTAGTGCAACATTCGAACCTCAGTCATGTTTTGTGGCATCCCTCCGAGGAATTCTGCCGCAGAGAGCTAGCACATCTGGCGCGCACAGCATAGTTGACGGTGCGGACAGGTCCCAACCTCAGTTGTGGAATGGGGAAAGACCTGGGCGTCATCATGGTTCAAAAAAAGGCCCTAGCGATATCAGAGATTCTCTATTGATGGAAAGCGGATCGATGAAAAATGGGTCCATAATTCCCTGTTGCGGGCGTGGAGTGACATGAAACAAGCAAAGCATCCCAAATGGTATAAGCCGGTTGATCCTTCCAATATTGCTGCGATTCAAGCGGGACCTAGAGTACGGTGACTGCCTACAACACCAGCTCCACGATCACGATGTCGGATCATTCGACAACAAGACCTGGGTTTGTTTTGGAGGCACTACGGAACCGGTTATTGACCTGGAAGAATTCATCGTTCCTACCAGTGTTGCTCCTATCGAAGTTCTTTCTGCTGCGACTACGGCGATCATAATGCAGGAGGGATGCGAGCTGGTGGGATGGTTAAAAGAATCATCCCATAACTCTCCGCAGTCAATAACCAGTACGTTATGGAGAGAGAGCCTTGCCGGATTTTGAGGATCTATACTGATATGCTCTTGCCATTCATAGCCTTCTCCTGGTCTCCCAGGATCGACATGAGATTCTCCACAAGTCTGCGACCTACACTCAGGCCTATAAAGGGTACCCTGGGGAAAAACCAAGTGAGGAGAAGCTCAGAAGCATCCAGCCGATCTGTCGCTCAGAGACGATGGTGCAGCATGTTGAGGTAGTTCCCTATCTCCGCGAAGGGCTTCCTGTGTGGGAGTTCTCTGGTGAGCAACCTTTCGCGACAGCTCCTGCCTGCGCGTAACCCGGCTGTCGTTGCGAGCCTCCCGCCCCGGACATTTGATCAGAATAGACCCGTACTCCGCTCAGTCGACTGGTGTGGCTTTGGCAAACGTTGGCTGTGTGCGCCCAGCTCCGCGAGGCATTACTTTACTCTGATAAGGTAGGAACTTCAGAGAAATTTACAACTCTATATCTTCATATCAGACCGATATTACCGGACGCGAACATACCGACCATGGCGTCTAACGGCCCTGAAATTACCGACGGGAGACACAGCGGAGTCAGTTGATGGAGATGCGCAGGCCGACCTAATCCAGACGCATGCCGAAGAGTGTCTGCGGCGCATGCTCGGACAGTCATCGAGTCGGCTAGGGATGCAGAACTTGCAGAAGGCTAGGAGAGCAGGGAGATCCTCTCTGCGGCAGGCAGTGCGTCGAATCCAAGCGGATTTATTGGAGGAGATGCTCTTACGCATATGGTCCTCACGTTGCCCCCTCCATGGTGATCTAGTTCTCAACTAAAGACGACTATCACGTCAACCATTTCTCAACCTTCATTGGCTCACTGAGACCCAGGCGAACATGACGAACAGGCCTTCACGATCACACGCGAGAAGAGCCCTCCTCGTCTTCAGTAAGATTGATGTCCATACTGAGTTTGGCATGATGGTAACACTTTCCCTTACAGAGTTCTATAGTTCAGTGTGTTGCTCGAGCCTCCACTCAATTTGAATACACTGTTTTCAGGTAGTCGGTCGGGTCCACCGACTCGGCCAGTGGGAGCCACAGAAGGCCTGGGTATTGTTCCGGGAACATTCCATCTCCAGATGGATCGAGTGCAACAACTTGATGAAGGCCCTGCCACATTTGGCGGTCCAACTCCATGATTTGCGGAAGCCCCTGGTGTTGGCTGCCCGAAGTTCGAAATAATCAGCGCCCAGCGGATACAGGAGATATGAATGAGTCTGTCCTCATTCAGGGACCTATATCCGAATCAAGTAACAAGAGCAGATTTCGCCATCCTGGTAAGATAGACCAGTTGCCATTAGTTACAAAGGATGCGAAGTCTTATCTGCATCACTCAACACCATTATTTACTTTAAACCTTAAGCCTTTTAAGAGCTCTGCACAAGGACTTGCTCATGCTGATCAGTCTGGCTTTACCCAGATTCTCTTGCTTTTCTTCCTGCTTCTGTGATAGATGACCCTTTGTTTTGCTTTCACTCCAATGCAAAGAGATACATGAGAGAGCTAGGAGCTGTCCCACCAATTTGGCAGCATAACAGGCTACCTTATTGAACACGCTGGGTCAGGCTTTAAAGGACAGTCTGACAGCCGAGGAATCTATTATCAGTATGCGGATCGGCAATCCGAAGGCAGATAGTCGGGTGGGACTGGTTCTTCACGAGACACTGGCTATCCCAGAAATCCCAGATGATACTGCACAATATCTCAATGATGACAGAGGCGCAGGTAAGTATCCTAGCCGTGGAATGACGACTGTAACTCACCGCTAACTATCACTGAAGCCTTCGCTCAACCCCAGGAGATGTTCAAGTCAGCCTCCAAGGTGACGCAAAAGCAGTTCATGATGCTGCGCATTTACGCCGCTTAAAGCTCTGATCAAGGTTCTCTCTAGGTCAGCGGCTATGGCGATATAGCATGCATCAGTGGCCTTGTTACGGCGGCCCCAAATGGGAGTCCTCGCCTCATAAACCCGAATAGCATGATATTGTTGAAGCTGTTGATGGCCCTGCATTTGCCAAAGATGAGGTCCGGTTGGTTCTCTTCGGAGCAAAAGTTGGATATCTCGTGGCGTCATCACCGTCACAACAACTAAAACTACTACACAATGCCTTGGGAGTGGGCCCAGAACGCCGTGTTCATCATGGTTGTGATACTTGTGCCGTGAAAAGTTGCAATGGCGGTAAAGAATGCTCGATGTTGGAGAACCTTCTGAACTTGATTGCTGCTCTCAAGGTAAGTCTATCAAAGACAAAACCACATCTTGACATCCTGGGTGATCGTCATCTGTGTGATCTAGCTGGCGTTTGGGGGGTTCGTCGCCCTGCACTTCGGGGTGAGGGGAGGGAGGGCAAGATGAGGAGAGGACGTAGACGGGGTTGAGAGAGGAAGAGTACATCGTCCAGACACCTTTTTAGTCCACGAGTATGTGCTCATACGTGTCAGTTCATAAACAAGAGTGATATATATGGGGCGTTTTATGAAATGTGCTCTCACAGTTCGCATATGTCTAGTAATCAGATGGCAACTGGGGTAGAATCCTGTGATGGCTTTGCGTTGTTGACTGATTCTAACCCTTACCTCTCTGGTGGCGGGACAGGTGGAAGATCATGATGAATGGTACAGATATCTCTATTCCATTGTCTTTGGAGAATACTATATCCTTTGCGACACACCTTGGCGCCCTGCCGAAACAGTGGCTAGTCATCCTCATGTACATGCATTGATTACACCATTGTTTTGTTCGCAGGTTGACTTCAATACTTGCTCACCACTGATGGTACTACACATGCACTAGATGAGACAGGTATCCTGGCGTTCAACTCTATGGATATAAATTCTAGATTACAGGTAATGGATCATGCACGCATCATTTAAAACGTTCCCAGGTTCTCAGCAACCTTGAACGGAGCGGCAGTCTTGCTGCGGACCTCCTCGACGGTCACGCCCTCGGCGGTCTCGGCCAGGGTCAGACCTTCCGTTGGGCTGACATCGAAGACGGCCAGATCGGTGATGATCTTCCACACACAGCGGGGGCCGGTGAGAGGGAAGGTGCACTCGGGCAGGATCTTGGGGTTGCCCTTCTTATCGGTGTGTTCCATGGTGACGACCACCTTGGTCTTCTCAGGGTTGGCGACGAGGTCCATGGCGCCGCCGACTCCCTTGACCTTACCGGGGAGCATGAAGTTCGCCAGGTCACCGTACTGGCTGACCTGCAGGGCGCCGAGCATGGTGAGATCGATGCGGCCAGCGCGGATCATACCGAAGCTTTCGTGGGAGCCGAACACGGAGGCACCGGAGCTCAGGGTGACGGTTTCCTTGCCCGGATTGATCAGATCGGGATCCTCTTCGCCGGGCTTGGGGTAGGGGCCCAGACCGAGGATGCCGTTCTCGGCCTGGAGGACGACTTCGACGCCTTCGGGGAGGTAGGCGGGGGCGATCAGGGGGATACCGATACCGAGGTTGACGTACATGCCGTCCTTCAATTCCTTGGCGGCACGCTTGACGATGCGTTCGCGACGAGCGGTAGCCTCGCCGGAGCCTGGAGCAGTCAGTCAGCAGGGAGCCGTAGCATCAGATGTTAGAAGCATGCATACCAGCCTGGAGCATCTCGCTGGGATCCTTGGTGAAGGTGAGCTTCTCGATCATGGTCTTTTCCGTGCTCTGGATGACCTTGTTGACGTAGATGCCTTGCAGGTGGATTTCCTCGGGAGACAGCTCGCCAACCTCGACAATGTGGTCGGCCTCGACGATAGTGTACTTGGCGTTCTTAGCCATGGCCTCGTTGAAGTTGTTCATGGCCTTGCGGAACTGGCAGTTACCAAGCTTGTCGGCCTTGTGGACACGGATCAAAGCGTAGTCGCCGAAAATCGATTCTTCCAGGAGATAGTTCTTGCCGTTGAACTGACGGACTTCCTTGGGTTTCGAGTATTCCTTGACGGTGCCATCTTTGTTGTAACGGACGGGAAGTTCACCAGTTTGGACTGCTATCGTCAGCTACGTCCTTGGGCCCGCGACATAGAGCAAAACCTACCAATTGTTCCATAAGCCGCAGGAGTGTAGAAAGCAGGGATACCAGCTGCACCAGCCGCGCACTTTTCAGCAATAGTGCCTTGAGGGGTAAGTTCCAGAGCGAGGTCGCCGTTCAGGTACATCTTTTCAAAGACCTTGTTTTCGCCGATGAACGAAGCAATCATTTTGGTAATCTGGCCAGACTCGAGGAGTTGCCCTGAGAATGTCAGCGCCATCGTTTCCCTAGCCAATTGCTTCACCTGATGGCAAATAACATACCCAAACCAGCACCAGGCATCCCAGCGTTGTTGGAGACGACAGTCAAATTCTTGATATCGGGACGATCACGCACAGCATTGATCAGGGTATTGGCGACACCGGAGAAACCAAAACCACCGCACAGCACAGTAGACGAACCCTTCATGTCCTTGATGGCTTCCTGAGCCGACGCGCATACTTTGTCGATGGCTCTCTTGTTGGCGGAGACAGAGAAATTCCGCCGCCCCAAGATGGGGCGGAACACCACAGGAAGAGGTCGCGACATGGTCGGGCGTGGATCAGTTGCTCAATTGAATGAGTCAATCTGAAGAAAGGATAGAACTTAAAGGAAGGGAAGGGAGAGAAATAAGAGAAAAGATGGGGAAGAAAAGAAGCCGACGACGAAAAAGAAACGCCGCCGGCTCTGGGGCAGCTGGGGAAGCTGATCGGTATGTTCCGTAGACATATTAACTGATTAACTGAGGATTATGGAGCTCCATTGGAGAACAGACGTAGAGAGAGAGTAAAGCATCGGCTAGTAGTTGATGCCAAACCTGCCGACAAAGCGATTATCCGCTTGTCAGTACTGTACTGTTTTGCCGCCTTCCGAAGTCGGTCTCACCCCGATCGTACCGGCTGCATACTGCTGGAATCGGTAATTTACAGGTATCAATGGGAGTATACTCCGTACCTATGTGGGAAAGCGTTCAAAAATCTGCGGGGCAACGGGGTCTTCAACTGGAGCTATGGGAATGATTGTTCCCTATCGAATTTCCATAGATGAGAATGAAGTTTAAGTAGAGGTTCCTTTCAGAAAGATAAGAGTTGTTGTCGTCAGTTAAAACACTTTGCCTACTTTACGAAAGATATAGATCTGTAATGACGCTGTAATGTCTGCGAGTTCCCTTCCGACTCGGGACCCGCATCGGCAGAAGACCCTGACATCTCGGCTGCAGTCGAACTACTGCTTTCCGTAAACAGCAGAAAGGAACTTCAACACAAGGAAGATGCGAATCATCTTATAAGTCCGGAGAAGAATTTGTCTTATTGAGTTAGAGAAGCTGTAAATGTAGTAGCTTATCGGCAGGATTCTTCTATATCGGTTCTGGTTGTGAAGCGTCAATTGGATTATCATGAGTATGGAGGACTCGAGATAACACAGATGGCCAGTCCTTCAGAGACTACAAGGCCGTCTCATATCTGTTTGATCAACCGACTGTCTAAATTGTCGAATTTCCATCAACAGAAGCCGAACAATCCGTATCAGATCCTCCACATAAAGATCTCAGCGTGGGGCAAGCTTTGGCAACTTGTGTTGATGCCCCACATTCGTGTATAATAACTGAGACCTGGACATAGCTCTAGTTCGTTCGGTCCTTTCCCTTCAAGAGGATTCAAAAGGACATTGCTCCCACACAAGTAAGAAAGACAGCAGCAGGTTACTCACGAAATCACCCATCAGTGAAGCTATTTCCAACGGTGTGCAGCTCGCTGCGAGGTCATGGGCTCCCCATCGCAGATTACTCCCTATTCAGAAACTTGATAGTCTACATTCGACAGATGCATGTGGGCCGTTGACGGTAGAGCCTTCATCAGCTTTGTCTTGATGTCAAAACTCATGTTGCTTTCCATGCAGTATTCCCTTCAGGTCTGCCATGGATTACCCGAKAGCTCTGCTAAAATCGACCAGCTTGATGGATTTGCGGCAAAGCTAGAATCTGATAATTCAGTCATCCAATTCAGCTATCATGAGCGCCAAATCCTCGTCCTGTGCGCCGGAAGAAGGAGGCAGATAACTTGCAAGAGGGCACAGCAAAACGAGACATCCAGATAGAGCAAGCGCCAACTGACAACGACAGTTTTACTTGCCATTTCTTGAGGGCTTCGAGAGTCCATAATACAACCTCCAGTCAGAACATGTGCGACTTATCAGCGACTGGTATGGAAGCAGTACGGTTGTTATCGTTGATGAAAGCCAGTCAAGGTCGATAATTCGGGAACTGAAGTCTCCCACGACTGCCGTCCAACAAGCGACCCCACTCGCATCCCACCACTGCTTAGAATTTCCTGGGACATCAAATCATTAAGGCGCATGGGAGCATAATTGTTATGCTCTTGACGCTGTGTCAGACTAATAATCAATTCGATGGTTGGTCGTGGCCATTATTCCAAATTCTGGGTCGCTCGTATGAGGAGCAAAATACCCCATGGGGCAGAAATCAGCGCCGACAAATAATATTTTGTCCCATTCGGCTGTTCTCCGAGACGGAAGAACAACAACAACATCAACAACTCATCACATCAATCATCAGGGTGGGAAAGAATATGATAGCAATTCATGGATATGTCGTCCCCTGACTGCCAGAGGAATCAAAAAGTCAGAAGCGAGAATACTGCAGCTAGACTACATTATTACCAGATTCGACACCACCTGACAAAACAGCAACACCAACTAACCGGATCGGTCATAAGGTGAGCAGACGGGACAAGCAACAAATCACAGAGCGATCCCCCTCATCCGTCAGCCATTACCTAAGGATCTTAAGGCACCTGAAGGATCCTTAGGTCATCGGGGATGTTGGTTTCATTCGGAAACTTTCC